AACCAGGGACCCTGAGACCAACACCCTCCCTCCCCCCAGCACTCTGCGTGTGGTCGGCTGATAGNGTGAAATCAGTACTCATGTGTTGGCTTCATTTTCACCTCAATGGATTAACCAGGGACCCTGAGACCAACACCCTCCCTCCCCCCAGCACTCTGGGTGTGGTCGGCTGATAGAGATGTCCAGTCTCCAAGTTCTGTACCAAATTCTGTGTGTGTGTGTGTGTGTGCATGTATATTTGTGTCCTACTTCCTACTCTTCCTATAATGTCAAGCATCAGAATGGGTAATCATTCCAAGGGTCATGCAAATAATAAAATCTTGGTGGTGTCGGGAAAACAAATGAGCTGAGAATGGAGTGCGGAACAGTGTGGAGTCCCTTTCAGACAGGGTTTCAGAGCTGGCTGTAGACCTGGAAGCCTGCCTTGTTTGTGCATGTGTGGGAGGCAGGGAGGGTCGTGGATGCCCACTGGGGAAGTGCCTATAGCCCTAACCACCCAGTCTGGGAGCAGGGGTGGGGTGGAAGTAGGGCCTAAGCCATCTCATTCTCTAGGTAGGAAGATGCAACCAGCTCTGTTTGTCACCTGAAGCCTTCAATTTGCCCGAAGAAAATTGCTGAAATTGGTAACAGCTGCCTTAAGGAGCAGCATAAAAGAGGAGGAGCGGGGAAAGGGGCAGGAAGGCTCATTAAAGCTAGCTTACCCCTCCAACTCTTTCCCAAGGGAGATGGGGCAAGAGCTTTCTTGCTCCATAGTTACTGCTCCCTCACCATCCTATACCAAGCTCTTTCCTTGTGCCATAGATTTACAATCCACAGATTAGCAAGTGAGCCTCCTGTGGAGTTTAGGAGAACAGGAGATTGGACCTGAGAAAGGATCCCAGTAGGAAGCAGGGGGAAGATACCTGAGTGGCACCCCTCGGGGCTATCCAGGGTTTCTATGATTCTAAGCAAGGCACTTAGGGCTCAGCTTCCTTGTTTGGCCACTGAGAGGGCTACAATGATATCACCATGAGATACTCCCAATTAGGGCATGTCATAATTCTGTGAGATTATTTAACCTGGGAAAGGATGGGAATCAATGGCAAATTAATGCTTTAGGGTTAGAAACTTTGGGTTCCAGTCTTGGTTCTGCTCTCGGTGACTGGTTATGGGTTGAATTGTGCCCCACTAAAGTTCATATCTTAGAGGCCCTATCTCAGTACTTTAGAATGTGACTGTATTTAGAGATAGGGTCTTCAAAGAGGAAAATGAGATCAAATGCATGGGCCCTGATGCAATGTGACTGGTGTCCTTGTAAGAGGAAGACCACAGAAGAAAGACTAGGAAAGGACACAGCAAGAAGGTGGCCACGGCAAGCCAAGGAGAGAGGCTTCGGTTGAAGACAACCCTGCTAACACTTTGATCTTGGACTTCTAGTCTCCAGAACTGTGAGAAAATGGGGGAGGGGAAACCACTCAGTATTTTGTATTTTATGATGGCAGACCCAACACACTAATACATCTGAGATACAGTATTTTGTCATGGTTTGGTTTCTCCAAGCAAGTAACAGGGGGTTGACAATGTGGACCTACTTTACTCAAGCGCTCCCAGAACCTGCTGTGATGATGATTGACTATTGTGTATTCACAATGGTTCTGGCCCTGTGTGGCCGTGTGTGTAAAGCAGCAGCATTCCTGCCTTTGGAGGTTCTTTCCACCCCCAATAAAGTCCAAAGCCTCTCAGTGAGCTTCAGTCTCTCTGGGTTTCCCATTTTTTCTGCTGTTCATGATGGGAAAGGAAGGAAGTTGCTTCCTGCTCTTCCAAAAAGCAATTCCAGATTTTAAAGGGTAGCCAACGAGATGTCACACTCCTTATCTCTCATTATCTGCATGCCCCTGTAGCCCCTGACAGGCTGCAAACCTAGATTGAGCCCCTGGAAATTACAAAGAAAGCAGAGTGGGAAATCTGCTCAGGGAGATAAGTCCAGGAAATAGAGGTAGTGAGCAGAACAGGGTCCATGAGAAAGAGGAGTCTCCAGACCCGGCTCTTTAGATTCTAACATGTGTGTGACCTTGTCAGTCCTTTGATTCCCATCACATAACACACACACACACACATTCATACATATCTTCAGCATAAAGAGGCTCTTAGGGTGGGTAGCCCGATGTGCAAACTAGGGAGCATTTGGAGTGAGACTGAAAACTACTGGGGCAAGAGATTTGTAATCCAAACAGAAGTAAGAGAAAGGGCCTCCCCCAGGCTAACAGATTCACCCTCACCCTATCCATAAATAAAAATACGTAAAGTTCCCCAGGATTGGGGAGGCAGAGGTGAGGTTACCGGAGAAAGAAATGAGACTATGCATTAAGGCAAAGAGGAGCTCTTAAGACCAAAGATTTTAACATATTTTGTATTCATTCCTCTAACTCCCTTAGCAAGTTTTTTTTTTTTTTTTTTTTTTTAAAAAACATTTTTTTTTTTTTTTTTTTTTTT